TTATTCTAATACTTGTTAACTGTAGAAGTTAGTATTGCAGTTACTTTTTCCTTAGTATTAAACATTTTTTCTTAGCATACTGTAAAAAAATAAGAAATGGGAATATCTCATCCTTATTTAGCATTTTAAATGCTCCATCCCGTCTTCCCACCATGTTTTAAAAAAAAGATTTTTGGAAAGATATTATAGGACAAAGGCATGTTTATACAAATAGAGTAAGAAATCTTATTTACTAAGGCCATCTGGGGAGTGCTGTTAGACTTGAGGACAAAAACAGTCCTTTGGATTTAAGAGCTAGAAACTCAACCTCTACTGCGAGTAGTGTGACATTTGCTCTTAGTTACTTCATCTGTAAAGTAGGGATGCTATGATAGTTTCCCAATATTTGTTAGATTCAAGTTAAATAATTGATGTGAGAGTATTTGGCAGAGGGAACCCCCTATAAAAAATATGAGGTGTGGGCCGGGCTCGGTGGCTCAGTCTGTAATCCCAGCATTTTGGGAGTGAATTGCCTGACCCCGCGGGTTTGAGACCCGGGCAACTTGGTGAGACCTCGTCTCTACAATAAACAAAAAATTAGCTGGGTGTGGTAGCGTGCACCTGTAGTTCCAGCTACTTGGAAGGCTGAGGCAGAAGGATCACTGGAGCCCAGCAAGTCAAGGCTGTGGTAGCCGGGAGCATGCCATTACACTCCAGTCTGGGCGACAGAGTGAGACTCCAACTCAAAAAAAAAAAAAAAAAAAGGAGGTGTAAAACTAACAAAAATAACTCGTGCACAGTGTAGACTTTTAGAAAGTCATCAGGTTTCCATCATTCAATCATAGGAAAGGTTTACATGAAATGAAAGTTGGGCAGTAGAGAGTCCTAATTACGTATTCTTTATCTTAGAAAGAATGAGTTTACTCTCATAAATGAAACTCTGTCAGGGAAATCTTTTTTTTTTGGGAGTTGGAGTCTCACTCAGTTACCCAGACTGGAGTGCAGTGGCCGTTCCCGGCCACTGCAGTCTCAACCTGTTGGGCTCTGCCGATCCTTCCGCCTCAGCCTTCCAAGTAGCTGGAACTATAGGCATGCGCTATCACGTCCGGCTAATTTTTTTTGATTTATTGTAGAGATGAGGTCTCGCCAAGTTGCTCAGGTGGGTCTCGAACCCGTGGGCTCAGGCAGTCCACTCACCTCAGCCTCCCAAAGTGCAGGATTACAGGCTGAGCCACTGAGCCCAGCTGAGGAAATCTTAATATGTGATCTTTCTATTAACAACTAAATTTTTTTTTTGAATTGGAGTCTGACCTTGTTGCCCAGACTGGAATGCAGTGGCACATTTATGGCCACTGCAGCCTTGATCTGCTGGGCTCAGGTGATCCTTCCTCCTCAACCTTCCAAGTAGCTGGAATTACAGGCACACGTCATCACACCCAGTTAATTTTTTTTTATTTGTTGTAGAGATGAGATCTCGCCCAGTTAGCCAGGCTGGTCTCAAACCCATGGGCTCAGGCAATCCTCTCACCTCGGCCTCCCAAAGTGCTGGGATTATAGACATGGGCCTCTGTGCCCAGTCAACAAAATTAACATTGTAATATACTTTGGCAGAATAATTTACATGTTTGAAATTTGTTGAAATGATATCAGTGTTTAAGTCAAGATGACCGTAAATGCCGGGCACAGTGACTTGCACTTGTTATCTCAGCACTTTGGGAGCTCGAGGTGAGAGCATCGCTTACAGCCAGGAGTCTGAGACCAGTCTGAGCAACGTAGTGAGATCTCTGTCTCTACAAAAAATTTTGTAGAGGTGTGGTGGCATGCACCTGTAGTCTTAGTTACTTGGAAGGCTAAAGTGGGAGGAAAGTTTGGACCCAGGAGTTTGAGGTTTTAGTTAGCTGTGATTGCATCCTGGGTAACCAAGTGAGGCTTTGTCTCTTAAAAAAAAAAAAAAGATCATAGATGGGGGGGTACCAAAAATGTATACACATTTTAAGTAGTGGTATCTACGTATTACTTTTAGAAGTTAAGTTACAGTAGCAGTGTGTAGTATGACATTCATTCAACTGTGCTGCGATTTTCTTTGACTGTTCCTGCCTGTCATACGGGTATGCTAACATTCATTTGATTAACATCATCTTTTGAGTGAACATCATATTTAAAATGTGTATATATTTTTTGGCTCCCTGTATTATAGCCATATTTTAAAATTTATATGTTCATATAAATAATATGACATTATATGTAAATACACACACATTTTCTTTGGGAATCCCAGAAAACAAAAGGAAAATTAGAAGGAAAAAAGTATATTATTCTATAGATAGGGATGTGCTACAAGTTTTAGGATTCATTGTGTGACATCCTCATTTACTGTGCATATACCTTTTTTTTTAAGACTAGTCAAGTGCAGTAGTAAAAAGAAAGCATAAATATACTTTTCATTTGAAAAATGAAAAAACTTTCAGATTATCCATCCTTTGGTTATCATTATTATATGGTCTACTTTATAGGTCATTTGTGGCAAATGTTAAATCTTATGTTGTCTTCCTTTTGCTTCCTGGGACATTTTAATGTGCTTCCAGTTGTTGAGATTTTTGGGTAAATGTGGATAGATTTTAATGTTAATCTAATGACTTGATCATGTAAATAGAACCAAAAAATAGCCATGTACACAAAAAAAAAGCCATGTAATACACATTTCAAAATCAGATCTAGAATACTTCAGACTTGTGAGGTTTTTATTTTATTTGCAGCACTGAAATGCAGGGAGTACAAAAATGAAAGTGAGAAATGAGCGTCTACCAGCCAGAATGCCATTATTTTACAGACACATAGGCATTAGTAATTTGAAAGCAAACTAGACATTTGTCAGTGTAGGCCAATATAACCCAAATTCTGTGGGAAAATTATTCTAGAGGGAAGGGAGAAATTCTTTTCTTTTCTTTTTTTTTTTTTGAGTTGGAGTCTCACTGTTGCCCAGACTGGAGTGCAGTGGCCGCTCCCGGCCACCGCAACCTCGACCTTCTGGGCTCCGGCGATCCTTCCGCCTCAGCCTTCCGAGAAGCCGGAATTACAGGCATGTGCTACCACGCCTGGCTGATTTTTTGATTTATTGTAGAGATGAGGTCTCGCTGCCCAGGTGGGTCTCGAACCCACGGGCTCAGGCAATCCACTCACCTCTGCCTCCCAAATGTGCGGGATTACAGGCTGAGCCACCGAGCCCGGCAGAGAAATTCTTTTCTAACCAGGAACTTTGGAAATGTTTCTTAGGGAAAGTAAGTGGGATTTTTCTGGGTTTGGAAGAATTGGTTGGGCTTCAGCAGGCAGCTTTGAGGAAGGAGAGCCTTTAGGTAGGAGATGCTTGAATAAGAGCTCTAAATGAAGGAAGTACAAGGTATGTTTAGTGAATGATGAACTGGAATTTTAGAACTGTGGATTGAAGGAGTAGAGAGTAATACTTGAAGTGATTTGGGTCTAGATTGAGGAGGCTTTGAGTGGCAATCTGAGAAATCTGGATTTTAATATGTTTTGTTTTTGCATTAAACTTTATTAATACAATGGTTATTAGTCCATTTATGTTTACATTGATAGGAAATATTTGAGAGAAAACAAAGACAATTCTCCATATGGTCTCACTTAGAAAATTCTTTCAGTAGCTTAGAATATGACTGATTAAAACTTCAACTTGCCTGAATTGAACATTTATTGAGTACCTGCTGTTGAATGAACACTACATTTGGCCATTGGAGAGAAGGTATAGCCTTTGAGCATCATGTACTGATGTAGAGACAGAACACGCATGAAACTGAAGAACATTTACAAAGTGTCAATATATCATTTGCTTTGTCACTTTGGAATCTCTTTTACCTCGGTTTCCCTCCCAGAGTCAGTGTTAGCTTAAATGTATTTGGTGCATTCATTCTAGATGGGCAAGAAGTTAGGCAGCTTTTGGAAAAGTATTTTCTGCTTTGCGGTTTAAAAGTTTTATACAACTCATGTGAGAGTAATTGGGATAAATCTTGCCACCATTTGGACTGGCAGTATGTTTAGAATAGACCCAGAAGTGGACAGGAACCGCCACACAAACCCATTTTGCAGTTGTGCACAGTCTTTTCAATTCATGTGATCTAGTTTTCAAAGGCAATGGGTTTAGCAACACAACACAGTTTTACTAAATTCGAAAAGGAAGAGTTTTTTTGGAAAAGCTTTCTTAATTATTTCAGTGGGACAGATGATTTGATAAGTTAATTTTCTTACAAAGTTAATATTCCCTTATAATCTTATTTTCTTTTTTTTTGAGTTGGAGTCTCACTCTGTCACCCAGGCTGGAGTGCAATGGCATGGCTCATGGCCACTGCAACCTCGACCTGCTGGTCTCAAGTGATCCCTCCGCCTCAGCCTTATCCAAGTAGCTGGAACTACAGGCCCACACTGGCTGATTTTTTTTTTTTTTTTTTTGACTTACTGTTGAGACAAGGTCTCACCACGTTGCCCAGGCTGGTCTCGAACCCCTGGACTCAGGCAGTCCTCTTGCCTCAGTCTCCCAAAGTGCTGGGATTACAAGCGTGAGCCATTGCACCCGACCCCTTTATAATCTTTATAGTTAGAGCTGGTAACTTTTAAGTGCAATATGTTGCAGAGTAATTTCCTCGTGTTCACAGTTGAGCTGTGTGTGTGTGTATTATCTTTTTTTTTTTTTGAATAAGCAGGGTTTATTGAGAGGACAGAAAAGCTCCCATAGTGGGAGGGGACCCAAAGGGGTTGCCCCTATATTATCTTTATATATGTCTTTTCCTTAATGTCTTTTTTTAAAGTTGCCATTTAATATTTAAAATGTGATTACTTAGAATAATAACTCTTCTTTCCTTAAGGATTAATCAGTTGTTTTAAGTGCTTGGAGCTTTATGTATGAAAAAATGTATTATAAATGTGTTGTCATTATTGTCATAATGGTAATGATTACCATATCAATTAAAATCATGTGTTTTCATCCTTATTTTCTGTTATGTGGTTCTTAGGTTCAGAATTTAACATTACGCAGCCAGAAGTTGGGTGTATTATCTAGCTCACAGAATGGGCCACCAAAAAGCACTAGTCAAACTCAGTCATTGACTATTTGTCATAACAAAACAACAGTGACCAGTTCTAAAATCAGCCAACGAGATCCTTCTCCAGAAAGTAATAAGAAGGGAGAAAGTCCAAGTCTGGAATCACGAAGCACAGCTGTCACCCGGACTTCAAGTATTCACCAGTTAATAGCACCAGGTGGGATAAAACTTTTGTTAAAAACAGTTACATTATTCGTTTTCTTAGCAGATGGAGCCAAATAAAATGTTAATTGAACATTTTAAAATGTGACTTTAGTAAGTTAAGAAAAGAACATCTTAGTATGTAGCTTGAAAAAAGACCACCAGCAAAAATAATTATAACAATAAAATAGATTTTTTAAAAGCTAATTGACATTCGGTTAACATCTTTATTAAGTGCTGGTCTCTCCTTATAGTGATAAAACCTTTAGCTTAAAAAGGCTTTAGTGGAATAAATTAAAGAGCTTTTTAAAAAAACAATGTATTATTTTGTTTAAAGTTGTCATCAGTGAGAGGAATTTGTTACTTTTAAACATAAGGATTATACATAATTATTTTCCTTACTGCATTGCTCTTTTCCATCTCTGATTTATCTCTGAAATGATCATATCAAGGAGTCAAACAAGTAAATTTCATTCTCATCAAGCTTTGGATTCTGCCTGTGCTTCCTTTACTTTCTACATATATATATAACTGTGTGTTATGGTTCGCATACAGAAAATGTTCGGGACATCCAGAGTGAGCTTCTTACTTTCTTTTCTATTCATCTTAGTATTTCTCAGAATTGAAGTTTCTTTACTTTTAATATGATAAAAAGTTATCTATATTCTTCTTAAATTCAGCACCTATATTGTTGGGCCCATCTTTTTTACCTGCTCCCAACTTTCTTTAGTACAGCTGTTTTTTAATTTTTGTTTTTTTAAAGACAAGCTCTTGCTCTGTTGCCCAGGCTAGAGTGCAGTGGCATGATCATAGCTCACTGCAGCTTTGAACGCCTAGGCTCAGGTGATCCTCCTGAGTAGCTGGGACTGCAGGCATACACCACCACACCCAGCTAAGTTTTTTTGTTTTTGTAGATATGGGGTCTCCCTGTGTTGTCCAGGCTGGTCTTGAACTCCTGGGCTAAGCCATCTTCCCGCCTCGGCCTCCTAAAGTGCTGGGATTATAGGCATGAGCCACTGTGGTCCTAGTACATAGTTACGGTAGCATCTTTTGTCTTCTGACTAGATCCTTTCCTTTGTTTTTCAAGCATGTGTAGTTCTCCCCATTTTTAATATATCTGCAGGTGTTTTTTTTTTTTTTTTGGAGTCTCACTCTGTCAGCCAGCCTGGAGTGCAGTGGTACAATCACAGCCGCCACCGCCTCCACCTGCTTGTGTTCAGGAGATCCGTCTGCCTCAGCCTTCCAAGTAACTGGGACTACAGGCATGTGCCACCGATCTGGCTTTTTAAATTTATTGTAGAGATGAGGTCTTGCCATGTTGCCCAGGTTGGTCTCCAGTTCCTGAGCTCAGGCAGTCCTCTTGCCTTGGCTTCCCAAAATGATGAGATTACAGGTGTGAGCCACTATGCCCAGCCTATCTACAATTTTTATATCACTATAACTGTAGTTTATATTTCAGTGAGAGTGTGTATGTGTGTGTGTGTGTGTGTGTGTGAGAGAGAGAGAGAGAGAGAGATGCACTGGGCTAGACACTTCACATATTTTTTTTGGTTTTTTTGTTTTTTATTTTGAGTTGGAGTCTCACTCTGTCACCTAGGCTGGAGTGCAGTGGCACACACGCTCACAGCTACCCCACTGTTGACCTGCTTGGCTCAGGCGATCCTTTCTCCTCAGCCTTCTAAGTAGCTGGAACTACAGGTGCACACGACTACACCCGGCTAATTTTTGATTGATTGTAGGGACACGGTCTTGCAAAGTTGCCTGGGCTGGTCTCAAATCCACAGGCTTAGGCAATCCTCTTGCCTCAGCCTCCCAAAGTGCTGGGATTACAGGCTGAGCCACTGAGCCTGGCCCATATATATTTTATTTTTTTAAAAAATCCTTTCTTTCAGCAATCTCATCAAGTAAGAATCATTTTTCTGTCCTTTTATAACTCTGCTTTACTTTTTAAAGATTCATTTTATCTACTGGAGTCAGCTTTATTCCACTTGAACCTATTTCACTTTTCATGTTTCCTCTATGTTAACATTGCCAGCATTCTCTGCCTCACTAAATCTCAAAATCTTGATATTATCTGATTCCCCTAGTTAGAAATCTCCTCACTGTGAACTTCTGTTGCATTTTATTGTCCTTTATAGCCTTTTTTTTTTGGTATTGTTCTAAGCTTCTCTACTAGATAGTTCCTTGATGGAAGGATAATATTAAACACTTATGTATGTATCACTTATTAGCTCTTTAATCCTTTTTTAGAATCACCTTTCTATCTTTATATCTTGATGGTACTAGGTTGTGCCTCATATATGCTTATCTACAATAGGTGGGCAGTAATATTTGTTGGATTAACAGGTTTTTTTTCACTTGGATTATGGAAATTATGAGAGTCTTTCTTATTAGTACTAATTAGGTACACTTTGCTTAGAATTGCTCAATCTGAATCTTAAATAAGTAGGCTTTGAAATAATGTATAATAAATTTTCATAGTACAGTTAGACATGGATTCTCTTTTGATAAATTCTTGTGTACCAGGCTCTGTTCTCTGTGTGGCTTGAAAGCTGGATTTCTTGCACTGGACCTGCATTCAGTATGCAATCTTAAGCCAGGGTCTGGCTAGTGTTGACACTCACTATGAAGTAGCGTGAGACTGTGCTTGCAGTGGCTGCCCAGGGGACGATTTCTAGTGATTCCTATAGTTTTGATAGATTATCACAAACCAGATAGGTTGATTTCCTACCAAAGAGAATGTTACTTTCAGAAAAAGCTGAATTCTTTCGAGGTTCGTTCAGGCAAGGAGATCTACTTTTGGATTTTCAGTCTACTTTAACTACCAGTACGTAGTTCTGAGTTACATCTCGTGCTTTCCTCTTTTATTGGTAGTGTGATAATATTCTCTTACATGTATTTCTCCAACTCTAGTTTTCCATGGTGGTGTTTTGGGGTTTTTTGAGTCAGAGTCTCACTCTGTTGCCCAGGCTGGAGTGCTCAGTCTCTTGGCCACTGCAGCCTCGACCTACTGGGCTCAGATGATTCTTGTGCCTCAACCTTTCAAGGAGCTGGAACCATAGGCATATATCACCACGCCTGGTTAATTATTATTATTTTTTAATTTATTGTAGAAATGAGGTCTCGCCAAGTTTCCCAGGCTTGTCTCGAACCCGTGGACTCAGGCAGTTCTCTCACCTTGGCCTCCCAAAGTGCTGGGATTATAGGCGTGAGCCACCATATCCTGCTGGTAGTGGTGTTTAGAAACAAAACCACATACAGCATCCTATATCACATAAACCTTTGCAGTTCCCAGACTTGTAAATTTGTATAGCTTTACACTCCGTTATTCAAAGCAGTTCCTACCTTGTAGCAAGGCCACAGCTATATTTTTCTTTTTTTAAGTTGGAGTCTCACTCTGTTGTCTAGGCTGGAGTGCAGTGGTACGCTCATGGTCACCCCAGCCTTTACTTGCTGAGCTTAGGGGGTCCTTCCACCTTAGCCTTCCAAGTTGCCCAGGCTGGTCTCAAACCCCTGAGCTCAGTCAGTCCTCCTGCCTCGGCCTCCTAAAGTGCTGGGACTACAGTCTTGAGCCACTGTGCCCAGCCTGTATTTTTCACCCTGTTAGTTTTTCTGCTCTTATTGGTAAGAAGTTAATCTGAAGCTAAGATATTTTGGAAGAGTCTAGTACTGGTAATTTGTTCCTTTCCTCAATTAGAAAACTGTTCCTTCAAGCATTTTAAATGTAAAAAATCTACTTGTATTCTAATGTGCAAATTAATAATTATTATAACGGACATGGTTGTTATCTCCTTACATATAGTTTTAGAGTGCTAGAGTATTTGGTTTGCTCTATCATTTCTCCTTGAAGGTGGAATTTCCACTTGATACATAGTAAATTCTATTTTAATACATAAAATAAAGACAGACTTTAACCAAAAGAATGGAAGTGCTTATGAACTGTGGTAGAACTGGAGTGTTTTTTTTTGGTAGCCGTTTTTAGAGCTTTTATTAAACTAATCTAAGTGGAGAAAATGCACCCCTTTTTTTGGCAGACATTGATTCAACATGTAGTGAAAGGTCTTTCTGCCACTCGCGTAACGGTCCCGTAGGCTGGGTGACTTAAAGCACAGAGGCGTGTCTTTCCCCGCGGCTTCAGAGGCTGGAAAGCCCAAGACTACGTTCAGCCTCTGGCGAGGGCTCTCGTGTGTGGCTGGCAAGCCCACCCGGGACCCTTCCCTGCGTGCGTGGTGGAGAGAGGGGAGGAACCCTGTGCTGGTTCTTCTCTATGAGGATGCAGATCCTGTCACGCCAGGGCCTCACTCTCATGACCTCATTTAACCTCGATCACTTACCTAGAGGCCCCATCTCCACATACGTGTTGGGAGTTAGGGCTTCAACGTATGAGTTGGCGGGGAGCAGGGGGATAAGCATTCAGTTCTTAACAAGGACCTAGGCTCAGGATTGCAGGTTCTTTTAGACCCAGTGCTGTCCTTGATAGCCAGATGATTTCAGGCAAGTTACTTCACTACTCAGGGTTTTTTATCTGTAAGCTGTTGGATCAGTATAGTACCCAGTCTGCCTCAAGAGGTTGTTGTAACTATTAAGTGAAATAGTATATATTGTTGTAAAGAATAAAAAGTTATATATGTGTGAGAGGTGATGTCAGCCATTAATCCTCCAAATATAAGACCATCCTGACAGTAATACAATGTTCATTAAAATCAGAAAAATTAACCAACATGATATGTTTTTCTGGAATACTAAAGTTTTTCTTGTACAGAGGAATTGTTTCCAATATCCTCATATTTATTCTATAATATATGTGCTTGTCAGTTGAACTTACGGACTAATATAAAATAGGTAAATACAGTTTGATCTCTGATTCAAGAAAAATTTAATTTAGATAAACAGACAGACTATTAATCTATCACCTCTAGAGTATAAAAAGATTACTTACTTACCAGAGCACAGAAAGTATTGTTATTCTAGTAGATACAGTGTTCACTGTACTTCAAGAATACAGTAAATTTAAATTATAATTTTACTTAAAATATTGAATTAAAGTGGGCCTTTGTTGTTATGCTTGCAGAAAATGTATTTTCTTATCTGTAAGAGGGAAATACAGACGCACGCTACCACGCCTGGTTAATTTTTTGATTCATTGTAGAGATGAAGTCTCACCAAGTTGTCCAGGCTGGTCTCGAACTCAGGGGCTCAGTCCTCTCACCTTGGCCTCTCAGAGTGCTGGGATTACAGGCTTGAGCCACTGCACCCAGCATGTGAAAGAAGTTTAAACTCCTTGGAGGAAAGGCACTCTAGAAATTTAAAATTGTTAATTTCTCTTTTTTAAATACTTGATAACATAGTCTGTATCAACATAATTATAAAGGGCTGATATAAAATTTTCAGTCTTAGTTTGAAGTATTAGTTTAGTTATTGTGTGAACATTTTATTTTATTTTAGCGAGTGTCATTTTGTTGCCCATACTGGAGTGCAGCAGCATAGTTATAGCTTACTGCAGCCTCAGATAGTCTCCCTTGCCTCAGCCTCCTGAGTAGCTGGGACTATAAAAAGATGTTCATCACCATACCTGGGTGATTTTTTTTTTTAATTGAGTTGGAGTCTCTGTTACCCAGGCTGGAGTGCAGTGACACGCTCATGGCCACCACAGCCTTGACCTGCTGGCCCCCAGGTGATCCTTCTGCCTCAGCCTTCCAAGAAGCTGGGACTACAGGTGTGTGCCACCATGCCCAGCTAATTTTTTGGTTTATTGTAGAGATGAGATCTCACCAAGTTGCCCATGTTGGTCTGGAGCCTGTAGGCTCAGGCAGTCCTCTCATGTTTGCCTCCATAAGTGCTGGGATTACAGACGTGAGCCACCGCACCCAGCTAATTTTTGCATATTTTGTAGAAATGGGGTCTTAGTATATTTCCCTGGGTAGTCTTCAACTCCTGGCCTCAAGTGATCCTTCATTCTCAGCCTCCCAGAGCACTGGTATGATAGGTGTGAGCTACTGTTCCTGGCCTTGAAAATTATTTTGTTATATGAAATTTTACAATTAATTTACTTTTTAAAAAACAGTGAATGGATATTCATTGAACTTTCTAAATGCCCCTTTTTGAAATGGTGATTAGATGTTAATTTCTTTAAAGGATTCCCAATGCTTAAAGTAATAATCAGATGTAAAAGTGTTTTAAAAAATTGTGTTTTTAAGGCTATTCTTCACAAATATGGCTGAACATAAAAAATAGATGCAAGGTGTTACATAGTCTTAACTTTCTGAGATTAAGAACAAAATTTTGCTCTGTCTTTAGATATGTTTTAAATGTGGATAATCTTTATATAATATTAACATTAAGCAATTATTTCAGTTTATCTTCTTTTGAACTCAGTTTCATGAGACTTATAAATGACTATAGGGTTTTTTTGGTGAGGTGGGGGTAGATAAGGTTCTTTATTTAGATAACTTAGATTTCTGATTGTCTCATTCTTTGTAAGCAATCTAGTGCTTTCCTAGACTTTGAATGGGCCTAAGTTTCAGTTCTTAGTTCAGTGATTATTTAACTGTGCAGGATTCATCCATGTGTTTTACCTAGCTGAATTACAATTTTATACAAAACATTTTCTTTTCCTGGGTCAGGGCCCTCTTCATCTCAGCTTAACATTAGAAACTCACCTGGGAAGCTTTATAAGCAATTATTATCTTGACTATTATTTGGAAGCATCTTTAGACATGGATTACAAAGAATCAGACCTTTATTTTATGAATTTTAATGTAGCATTTTAATTATTTTGAAGTCATCTTTATATATCATCCTTGTTCAATGACGACACTCTTCTCCCTCAATGAAGAAATTCAAGTGTATCCATTTTGATAAAAGTTAATGTAGATATTCAGGTGACCTATAAAATGTAATAAGCATGAATTGTGTAGATTCAGAATATGAATCAATTGTTTTAGGCAGTTTTCTTTTGGATCTTTTCACAGTACAGCTTATTTCATGAAATTTTTGTAGTTTTCCAAGGAAAATCTGTTTGTCATTAAATTCTCAAATCATTTTTGTCTCAAAGACTTGTAATAGAATTCTGATAATTATGACCTTCTGATATGAAAACTTTCCTCCTTTAGATTTATTTAAAATTTCTATGATACCTTTAAAGTCAGTACTAATTGTCATTTTTTTCTCTCACAGCTTCATATTCTCCAATTCAGCCTCATTCTCTAATAAAACAGCAGATTCCTCTTCATTCACCACCTCCCAAAGTTTCCCATCATCAGCTGATACTACAACAGCAGCAACAGCAAATTCAGCCAGTCACACTTCAGAATCCGACTCAAGATCCACCCCTGTCCCAGCACTGTTTACCACTCCAAAACCATGGCCTTTCTCCAGCTCCCAGTAATGCCCAGTCACAACATTGCTCTCCAGTGCAGGGTCATCCCCCTCCTCTAACAGTGTCTCCAAATCCATCACAGTCAGCACAGCAGTCTGTGGTGGTGTCTCCTCCACCACCTCACTCACCCAGTCAGTCTCCCACTATACTCATTCATCCACAAGCACTTATTCAGCCACACCCCCTTGTGTCATCGGCTCTCCAGCCGGGGCCCAATTTGCAGCAGACCCCTGCTAATCAGGTGCCGCCCACAGCACAGCTGAATCTTCCATCCCATCTTCCGCTTCCAGCTTCCCCTGTTGTACACATTGGCCCAGTGCAGCAGTCCGCCTTGGTGTCCCCTGGTCAGCAGATTGTGTCTCCAGCGTCACACCAGCAGTATTCAGCCCTGCAGTCCTCTCCAATCCCAATTGCAACCCCTCCACAGATGTCAGCGTCTCCTCCAGCTCAGATTCCACCACTGCCTTTGCAGTCTATGCAGTCTTTACAAGTGCAGCCTGAAATTCTGTCCCAGGGCCAGGTTTTGGTGCAGAATGCTTTGGTGTCGGAAGAGGAGCTTCCAGCTGCAGAAGCTTTGGTCCAGTTGCCATTTCAGACTCTTCCTCCTCCTCAGACTGTTGCGGTAAACCTGCAAGTACAACCACCAGCACCTGTTGATCCACCAGTGGTAAGCCCTTGGAAGCTCTTTGACTTTCTTGCTGAACTCAAAGTAAACACTGTTTTTCCCACACTGTGTTACCTGCTAGATCTAAATGTCTGTGAAGTTAAAAAGCTTGACATTTCCATATGTCAGTATTCTGACGCACATGCTGTATGGGCAAAAAAAATGCTGTTGTTTGTTTAGTGTGGTTGCATGCTTGATAATTTGTGATGGTTATTAAAGTCCCTCGTTAATTTTATTACTATTTAAACAAATCCATCTGCTATCTTTACAGAGTTGATTTTTTTTCCCCAAGGGAATGCATTTGAACCAGTGTCATCTGCACAAAGTTTTTTCTCTTAAGGTGATTATCCTTCATAGATCCCTTCTGTTGGCTTGTATGTTTTTAAACGTATGGTTTATCTAGGCTAATCTTTTTGGCTGTATCCATTCTGAAGTCCCGGGCCTTTAGGGGCTTTTGTTTCAAGGTGGTATGCTTGTATTATGTACTTTTTTGATAAAGTTGTATTTTGTAATTAAAATTTGGTCAAAAAATTTTATCCTAGGAAAGAGTCCAACTTTGCAAAAGAAAATTAACTAGATTATCTTATAGAGTTATTAAATTTCTGATTTTTTATTTCTATTCAAGGAAAATAAGTACTTAAAATATTTCTCACTTAAAAACGCAAAGTCTTGGTGGATGACAAGTTTTGAATAATTGAGACTGTAGTGAAGTTTATTTCGTGTAACCGTTTCTAAAAATGGTTACATGTAGTCTGGAAAGGAAAGTTATCTTGAAAAATATTTTTCTTTAAATAAACATTATAAAGTAACAGCATGAAATTGAAAAAAGGTTCTCTAAATGTTTAGCCAAAAGGGTCAAATTCATAATTAATTTCTTTTTATTTTTTATTTTTTATTATAAAATTGTGGGGTACAGTTAAGGGTTAGGTATACAAATGTATAATTAATTTCTAATTGAGGAGTAGAATCTTCCCAAAGGAAGGTTTTATGTTAAACCTTATTGAAGAGATTTTATGAATTAAAGACTTAGCTCAAAAGAGAAAGGAGTTTCAAAGTCTGTTCTTTAATTAATGGGAAACATTTTGATTCTCAGAATGCAAAATTATAGATTTTAAAACAAAGAGATTGAATTCAGCCGGACGTGGTGGCGCACACCTGCAATCCCAGCTACTCGAGAGACTGAGGATCCCTTCAGACCAGGAGTTAAAACTTGTCGCTGAGACTGCAGTGAGCTGTGATCATCCCACTGCACTCCAACCTGGGTGACAGAGTGAGACCCCACTCAAAAAAAAAAAAAAGAATTCTACTGTCTTGTCCCTTTTATTAAAAACAGAACTTAAATATCTGTAAACAAAGCCGAGCTTGGTGGCTCAGCCTGTAATTCCACGCCTTTGGGAGGCTGAGGTGAGTGGATTGCCTGAGCCCGCGGGTTCAAGACCCGCCTATGCAGCCAGACCTCATCTCTACAGTAAATCAAAAAATCAGCCAGGCGTGGTAGCGCATGCCTGTAATTCCGGCTACTTGGAAGGCTGAGGCGAAAGGATCGCCGGAGCCCAGCAGGTCGAGGCTGCGGTGAGTCTGGCGACCGAGTGAGACTCCAACTCAAAAAAAAAAACAAAAAAAACCCCAAATATCTGTAAACATCTAGAAATAAGTTTTTCATTCAGGAGTCTCTTTGAACCTATATTAGTTCAGTACGTTACCGGATTCAAAGAAAAAAAAGCAAAAAATTTGTCATTTAGTTATCATGTCTCTATATTTTCTTTTAATAGATTTTTTTAAAGAGTTTATAATGGCCATTGTAACAAAAACACAGGCTTAGGGAGTCTATAGTACCTTCAGATAAGTCAAATTGCATATAAGTTTATTTTCTCGCTACCTAGTTAGTGATTTGGTTTTTAACAAGTAAAAAAATACCTCTATATTCTTTGTTTTTCTAATTGTTTTTGTTAGGGGAAAATTGAGAAGAACATATTTGGACTAGAAAAATATCAAAAACATAACACCTTAAAAACTAAAGCTAAAAATTATTTAAGGTCCTATTTTATTGCTTCCTGCCCTCTCTTTTAAATTTAAAAAAAAGTCTATTATATCATGTTTGGAAATTTAAAAAATTAAATAAGTACTTGTATTTGCAATTATTGATAGGGTCATTATGCTTGCTATAGATGTTCCCATGCTACCTTTTAAAATCTTTTAACCTTTTTTGAGTAACATAGCTCTATTTATTAAGCTGCTGTGTTCTTTTTTTTTTTGAATTGGAGTCTCACTCAGTTGCCCACGCTGGAGTGCAGTGGCACACTCATGGCCACTGCAGCCTCGACCTGCTGGGTTCAGGTGATCCTTCTGCCTCAGCCTTCAAAGTAGCTGGAACTACAGGTGTGTGCCACCATGCCTGGCTAATTTTTTGATGTATTGTAGAGACGAGGTCTCACCAAGTTGCCCAGGCTGGTCTTGAACCTGTGGGCTAAGGCAGTCCTCTCACCTTGGCCTCCCAAAGTGCTGGGATTAGAGGCGTGAGCCACCATGCCCGGCCCTGCTATGTTCTTTTATTATCTTTGACCAAATGTGTTATTCTTTTTCCATCAAAACACATTTCTTCACAAGTTATACTTTACTGGTTTCAGATATTTAAAAGTATATAGAGAGATTTATTTTTTAATAAATAGGAAAATCTGAAAGATAAAGTAAAATCAGTGTGCTTAAACATATATTTATATATTTATAAAAGAACTAAAGTTTTTAATGGACATTTAGGTATAAGTAAGATATGTTGAGGGCAGATAATTTAGAACTAATAAACAAATATTCCTCAGTTTATTTAGGAAAGGGAGACAGATGGGAATAATGGACTTTATTGAGGTAAGTCTTTGTTATTTTTAGAATAGTTATAGTTATGAGCTAAACAGTATTTGTGATGTGCAGTTTCCCAATGATCATGTGAGCAAAACCTCCACTTCTTTGCTTTTTTAAACACTTAAGATGATGCATTTTGACTTTTTATTGCTGGCTATGCCAAACGTGTGTGACAGATTTGTGTTTGCCTACTTCGTTTACTCATGAACTTACTGTGCCTTTACATGAGAAGTTTGGAAGTGTGTATAGTTAGCCTTGAGTATAATGAATAAAAAGTATCTTACAGTATTCTTTAATGGATTATTTCAAAATAGGCTATTTGTGTTATGACTCTTTCGTCCTTTAAATTCTTGTATTATTTTTTTAAAAATCAATTCTATGCATGATTAAGCTTTGATTTCTTAAAAGATACTCTGGCAGATGTTTGAATAAATATGACAGCACTAATATTAAAGAGAATTTCAGATGAGATAATGTTCTTTGGAAGAAAAGTAATATCTGCTAAAGAAATGTGGCTTAGATAAAATCGGACTGGTTGATAAAACCATACCTGTTTAATTACCTCTGAATTAACATCCCAGCCACTCAATCAGATTAATCACCACTAGAGCAGATGCCTCTGGGAACTAGAAAGTTTTTCTTTTCTTAATCCCCAGAAACTTTGGGGTGATTTTTTCCTATATTTGGATGATTTTCCCTATTATTATCATTTTAAAAATTATTATTATTTATCATGAACAGATCCTAGCAGCTATAATTGTTGCACTGAACAACAGCGAACATCTGCTTTCACTTCTGAGATCCAGACATGAGGCAAGGAATCTCTCTTGGTGAAACTGGTTTCTAGATGCATGGTTGTGAGCAGATAACTTTTAAAAATGTGTTCTACTTAGTAGTTGATTCAGATCACAGTTCTGGATATTATATTTGATGCAAAATTATCAGTAATGGCAGGATTTTTAAGTTTAAAAAAAGTAAAAAAAAAAGATGTTTTATTCTCAGCAGAGGCTTGGAAAGATTTTACTTTTAAACAGTCACCTGTAGATATACCTTTATGGATGAAACTTTATAGTCCTTTTTCTAACACTTGGTTTATACTGGTTTCAGAAATCTTGATCACTTTTATATATAATTTTTACATGCTTCAGATAATCAAATGCATACAGTATTACTTACATGTCACTGACAAATTTTTTTGTGAATGTTGAAAGTTTTTTTTTCTTCATTAACATTTCTGGGAATATTGATCAGTTTGGTTAAGTAATGTTAAAACTCATGGTCTTTGTTAATTTAAGTAATAAGCTTTGTGCATAAAAGAAGGAAAATGAACTGTTTTGAGGCTTTGTTTTTAGTAACCTATCATCTTTCATAAATAATGGTTAAGTAAATAATAAATTACGTCAAATTAAAATACCTGTGTCAGTCTCTAAAAGTACACTTTGAAAGTTTAGCCTCAATTTATAGAAACATTAATAATTGATATTTCTAGTTACATACCTCCTTTTAGAGTGCTTTTGATTCCCTCTTCCTTCTTAAGTATAATCTGTATAATTGGATCAAAGGAGGTTGAATTAAAGACTTAAAAACTGTCCTCCATAAATATGGAACATTATTAAAGAAGTTAAAAATAGTATGTCAAATTACTTAGGATATGTGTGTGTATGCATCTCTGTGTGTGGATGTTTCAAGGAAAGATTTTCTGTTTATATATTATAAAAATTCATTACATTCTTGAGTAGAACAGAAAAGGAAAGAAGAGAAATAATTGCATACCTTTTTTGGTAGATTCTTGGACATTACTTTGAATAATTTAATTTAATAATAATAATGAGCCTGGGATATAGTCCTTGTGCTGTACTTGATATGATACTTGATATAATGTGTATTATTTTGGAGATTTACTTAGTGTGCCTGTGAAAAATACTAGTGTTTGTTTTGATTGATGACAATTAGAAGTTAACAAAAACAGTTACATAGCCGGGCTCGGTGACTCAGCCTGTCATCCCGCGCCTTTGGGAGGCTGAGGTGAGTGGATTGCCTAAGCCCGCAGGTTCGAGACCCGCCTGGGCAGCGAGACCTCATCTCTACAATAAATCAAAAAATCAGCCAGGCATGGTAGCACATGCCTGTAATTCTGGCTACTTGGAAGGCTGAGGTGGAAGGATCGCCGGAGCCCAGCAGGTCGAGGCTGCGGTGGCCGGAAGCGGCCACTGCACGCCAGTCTGGGCGACAGAGTGAGACTCCAACTCAAAAAAAAAAACAGTTACATAATACTCAATATACATATTTGATTGTGTTTTTTAATTCTCAAAATTAAAAACATGTTTAGACTTGACAGTCATCTTTTTGGAAATCACTTAGTGTGATTTTTTTTTGGCATAGGTACTGATTCACTGCTTGCTAAAATATCAAGTTGTATGAAAAGCTTTTGAGCGATTTAAAGTTTTCCTTTCAACCTGTCAGAATAGGCTAGACATGATAGCTCATGCCTGTAATCCCAACACTATGAGAGGCTGATGCAGGAGGACTACTTGAGCCCAGGAGTTCAAGACCAGTGTAGGCACAACAGCAAGACTTTGTTTCTACGAAACATAAAAAAAGTAGCGAAGCATAGTGGCACACACCTGTCGTACCAACTCCTTGGGGGGGTGAGATGAAAGGATCACCTGAGCCCAGGAGGTCAAGACTGAGGTGAGCTGTGATCGTGCCACTGCACTCCAGCCTGTTTGACCGTGAGACCTTGACTCAAAAAAACTAAACAAATCTTTCAGAATAGTCATTTTGCCTTGATTTTAAATTTAATTAGCTTAGAATTTAAGTTTTTAAAATTAAGAACACCTCATTTAAATGTATTTCTGGAAACATTTTAAGGCAGTCTGGTTTGTCACTGCAGGTTTATCAAGTGGAAGATGTGTGTGAAGAGGAGATGCCAGAGGAGTCGGATGAATGTGTCCGGATGGATCGGACTCCACCCCCACCCACTTTGTCTCCAGCAGCGATAACTGTAGGAAGAGGAGAGGATCTAACTTCTGAACATCCTTTGCTGGGTGAGGAAACAGTAAAATGTGGGGAATTTTTTCTGTTGGGTTAATGATCTAATGGGGAAACTATTTTTTCACTAGAAATAGTTTTAACTAATTTGTCATGGTATGTAATCGCATCAAAAGATAGGTTAGACTTCAAGATTTTTTTTTTTTTAATGAGGAGCAATTCGTTTACTAAAGAATAGATATGGCTAGGTGAGGTGGCTCACATCTGTAATCCCAGCACTCTGGGAGACAGGAGGACTGCTTGAGGCCAGGAGTTCGAGACCAGCCTTGGCAACATAGTGAGACCTTGTCTCTGCGCCTGAAGGTTCAGTTATTCAAGAGGCTGAGGCAGAAGGATCACCTCAGCCTAGAAGTGAGCCACGTAGTGACAATCAGACCCCAACTCTAAAAAAAAAAAGAAGAAATGTGAATTATTTGCCTTTTGGGAATTTTTTTTTGTTTTTTTTTTTTGAGTTGGAGTCTCCCTCTTGTCACCCAGGCTGGAGTGCAGTGGCACACTCACAGCCACCTCAGCCTTGAGCTGTTGGGCTTAAGCGATCCTTCCACCTCAGCCTTCAAGTAGCTGGAACTACAGATACACGCACAACACCTGGCTAGTTTTTGTGATTTATTGTGGAGATGAGGTCTCACCGAGTTGCCTAGGCTGGTCTGGAACCCCCGGGCTCAGGCAATCCTCTGCCCTCGACCTCCCAAAGTGCTAAGATTACAGGCTGAGCCACCACACCCTGCCTTTTTTTTTTTAAAAGAGACAAACTCTGTTGTCCAGGCTAGAGTGTACTGGTGCGATCATAGCTCACTGCAGCCTCAAACTCCTGGGCTCAAGTGATCCTCCCTCATTCTCCTGAGAAGCTGGGACTACAGGCACATGCCACCATGCCAGGCTAATTTTTAAAGCATTCTTTGATGAGATGAGGTCTTGCTGTGTTGCTCATCTCGTCTCAAACTCCTGGTTTCAAGGGATTTTCCCACTTTGATCTCCCAAAGTGCTGGGATTACTAATTATTCCAAGAGGCAGGAACTAAAAAAAAAATTTTTTTAATTTGTTGGGTTTTTTGGTTTTTTTTTTTAAGTTGGAGTCTTACTCCATCACCCAGTGGCATGCTCACAGCCACCCTAGTGTCGACCTACTGGGCTCCAGTGATCCTTCCACCTCAGCCTTCCAATTAGTTGGAACTACAGGCGTGTGCTACCATGCCCAACTAATTTTTGATTTTTATTGTAGAGACAGGTCTCATCAAGTTGCCTGGGCTGGTCTCGAACCCGCGGACTCAGGCAGTCCTCTTACCTCAGCCTCCTAAAGTGCTGGGATTACTGACTGAACCACTGAGCTTGGCCAAATGGTTGTGTTTAAGCATTCAAATTCTACTTCGTCATTTCAGTGCTACACAGTAGTTCTAGTAAATCTCCTCTGTGCTCCTCTTCTTCACAGTATAGTTACTACCCTAGGTATTTTTCTAAAAAATCAATATAACCTATAGCTCAAAGTTTGGGTCCTAAAAAAAGATAGGCTCTGTTATTTTTAAAAATTTATGACCTTTTTATTTAGATTGGGATCAGCAAACTGTTCACTGTTCAGATCTTTCTTGCTATTTTTTTTGTCTTAACAGTCAGTCTCACTGTGTTGCCCAGGCTGGCCCTGAACTTCTGGGCTCAAGTTGTGCTCCTGCCTCCGCCTCCCGAATAGCTGGGGCTGAGGCGCAGGTCGCTGTGCTTGGCTTGCTGCCCATTTTTGTTCAGCCCAAATGAAGGATGGTTTTTCAATTTTAAAAGGGCTGAAAAAAGTCAGAAGAAGAGTAGTTCATGTCTTTTCATGCCTTGACGCTTATGTAAAGTTCACATTCCATTGTTTACACATAAAGTTCTGTGGACAATAGCTGCCATGTTTATTTGTTCAAATATTATCTATGGCTGCTTTGTGCTAACCAGAGAAGTGAGTAGTTACAGGAACTTATGGCTGTTTTTGGAAAGTTTGCTGACCCCTGCTGAGTGACGCTGATTTGGTTCAGGCTTTGTTGTGAGTCTTCTATTATGCTGTATGTCACGGCCTTCATGAGCATTTTTCATTAAGAGGAAGTACTGTGACAGGCCTGGAAGCAAATTGTGATGGGACACTGGCCTGTCTGCTGGGAAGGCAACCCTTGCCGTGTGTTTTCTTCAGTGTGCCACATCCCCTTCCCCGTCCCTTCTCTGAGACTTTTATTCCCTCGTCACTAATGTGAATCTCTGGAAAAGCATAAGAAAGGGTAACTTAATCTTCTTTTAACGTTCCTCTTTCTGAAAAGTGTAAACTGTTAGTCAGTAAAATTATATAAAATATTTAAGACAAGTTTTATATTATTGCCTTTATCAAAATAATACTTTAAGAGATAGATTTAGGAACGTCTAAGTAAGCCGGCTTAGTGGCTCAGCCTGTCATCCCGCGCCTTTGGGAGGCTGAGGTGAGTGGATTGTCTGAGCCCGCGGGTTCGAGACCCACCTGGGCAGCGAGACCTCATCTCTACAATCAATCAAAAAAATCAGCCGGGCGTCGTAGCACATGCCTGTAATTTCGGCTACTTGGAAGGCTGAGGAGGAAGGATCGCTGGAACCCAGCAGTTCGAGACTGTGGTGGCCGGGAGCGGCCACTGCACTCCAGTCTGGGTGACAGAGTGAGACTCCAACTCAAAAAAAAAAAAAAGAACGTCTAAGTATAGCATCAGATCTTTGTGGTTTCCTTACACTGAAATAGATTTACGTTGCTGCAGATTTTCTGGAGTTTTGATTTAAAGACAGAAATGCAAATTTTATTGCTAATGTATCCTGGGGCTATAATTTTAAAAAAAGAAATATAAGTTTTATTGAATACTAAATTTGCATTGTGACTGTGATTTAATTACAAAATAAAATTACTAATGGTACTTGAAGGGAATTTAGGCACATTTGAAATATTGGAACATAAGACTATCATTACTGAGATCCTGTTAAGCACATGTCTCTAAGTTATTTAGTTGTAATGTAGATTTTTGAGTCTTCCTACAATTTACTTCATACTAGAGGGGGAAAAAAAGCATCAGTTGATTTTTAGAATAATTCTTATCAAATCATGAAATAACCTAACTTGTGTAAAAATAAACTTGTTTCCATCCAAGGTTCAGTTTGCATAAATCTGCTAAATTCTTTACAATTAAAAAGCATTGGCTGGGCGCAGCAGCTGAAACCTGTAATCCCAGCACTTTGGGAGGCCAAGGTGAGAGGATTTCCTGAGCTCGTGGGTTCGAGACCAGCCTGGGCAACATGGTGAGACCTCATCTCTATAGTAAATCAAAAAATCAGCCGGGCGTGGTAGCGCACACCTGTGGTTCCAGCTACTTGGAAGGCTGAGGTGGAGGAGTCGCCGGAGCTCAGCGGGTCGACACTGGGGTGGCTGGGAGTTGTGCCACTCGCAGCCTGGGCAATGGAGTGAGACTCCATCTCAAAAAAAACCCAAGACATCTATGTGAAAAGGTAGAGAAAGCTCATATTCTTGCTCAGAAATGGAGCTTTGAATAGACAGAGTAATCTGTGGCAAAGTCTTATCAGTTAACTTGGGTTTTCTCTTACACTTGTCTTAAATCTAGAGAATATATTGTATTTCTCTTCTGCCATACTAGGTGACTGTTTCTCAAATTTTTTTTAACAGCTTATAAACTGGCAAATAATAGCTATTGGCTTTAAGACATCAGTAATTTGTAGCTCTGTTTTTAACAAAAATTAGGTTTATAGAAGATCAGCACATTTATATGTATAATCTAGAAGTTAATTAGAACATGCACCAGGGTGGGCATTGTGGCTCATGCCTGTAATGCCCACACTTTGGGTGGTCATAGAAGGAGGATTGCTTGAACCCAGGAGCTCAAGATCAGCCTAGTCAACATAGTGAGACCTCGTTGCTACAAAAAATAAAAGAAGTAACTGAGAGTGATGCTGTTTACCTGTCCTCCCAGCCACTCTGGAGGCTGAGGTGGAAGGATTGCCTGTGCCAAGGAAGTTGAGGCTGCTGTGAGCCGTGATTATGCTGCTAGACTCCAGCCAGGGAGGCAGAGTGAGACCCCGTCTCAAAAACAAAGAGCACACACCAAGCAGTATTTCCTGAACAAACCAAACTCTGTTAAATTCAGCTTTGTATTTGCAAAGGAACAAAGTATCTCTGGATATGCAAGGGATGTTAAAACCTTTTAGGTCACGGTTCCTCTTAGTTTTACTTTTTACTGTCAGCAGAAAAAATGCCCTCCAGTCCCACTGCAGAATTGTATCTTGTAGCCTTTGTCCCCTGTGGGTATATGTGACGCTTTGGTAAGCAGGGTATGACTTCTGTGGAGTTCTTCAGTTTGATAGTGCCAGTGTACAATTGTGCCTCTGTTCCCAGAAATCAGCAAGTTTGCATTTTCTGCCAGTTTTCTTTAAAGCTTTTTCTAGATTGTGTCACTGTCAACAAATTTTCCAATATAGTTTATTTTGGTGAATTACTTGACAGAACTAGGTAAATTTATGGCTTAATAGTGCTGTGAGAACTACAGGATATTAATCACATTGGAGTTACTGATGGTGAGTGGCTGGATTTTCTTTTCTTCTCTTCTCTTCTCTTTTGTCAAGGTCTCACCTTGTTACCCAGGCCGGAGTGCAGTGGTGCAATCACGGCTCACCGCAGCCTCAAACTCCTGAGCTCAGGTGATCCTCCCACCTCAGCCTTCCAAGTAGCTGAGACTACAGGCATGCCCCATTACATCCAGCTAATTTATATTTTACTATTTTACTTTTTTGTAGAGATGAGGTCTTGCTGTGCTGCCTAGGCTGGTCTTGAACTTTTAGGCACAAGCAGTCCTCACGTCTCTGCCTCCCAAAGTGCTGGGATTGCAGGTGTATCTCTATTTCGGAGACTGTACAGATGATTACTACATAATTTTATTAGCTGTGTTTTCCATTCTTTACAGATTCCTATTCTTTCTTCTCCTCTCCCTAACTGGGCTATATTTTAAGCATTTTTTTTTTTTTGAGTTATAGTCTTATTCTGTCACCCAGGCTGGAATGCAGTGGCACACTGCTCATGGCCACTGCAGCCTCAACCTGCTGGATTCAGGCGATCCTTCTGCCTTAGCCTTTCAAGTAGCTGGAACTACAGGCACACACCACCATGCCCAGCTAATTTTTTAAAAAGTTTTTGTTTCAGAGATGAGGTCTCGCCAAGTTGCCCAGGCTGGTCTTAAACCTGTGGGCTCAGGCAGTCCTCTCACCTTGGCCTCCCAAAGTGCTGGGATTACAGGCGTGAGCCACCACACTCGGCTATTTTAAGCATTTTTGAAAAGTGGTGTCAGTCCTTTTAATACTGATGATGGAGAGGAGTTAACATAGCAATTAAGAGCATGGTGTCCATTTGCTGTGTGCCCTTCAGGCGAGTTACTTAACCTCTCTGTGTCTTGGTTTCCTCATTTATAAAATGGAGATAATTATAGTACCTATCCCTATGCTATTTGTAAGGATTACGTGAGTTGTACCACGTAAGGCATTGAACATAATACCTGGCATGAAGTACTCAGTAAGTATTATTGTCTTTACACACATACTCTTTTTTTTTTTCCTCTCAGATATCTATTTACTAATACTCCTAGATATCAGCTGATTCCCTTTCCACTTTAGTACAGGCAGTAAAGGCTTGGTGCTACCGAGTGAATAGGTGAAGTCTCCACTGTCTACCTTATTTTGGTTCTCGGAGTTTGAAGAGGAGGAATCCCAGTGACTTCATTCAGCCTGACATTTTGTACTTGCTGTAGTCTTCGCCCAAATGGACATTTCAGTGCCACTGGGTGATTTGGAGTTTTTTTTTTCTTTTTGAGCAAGGATTTGAAAGTAGTCTTACTGCTTGAAGTTAAGGGTGGTGTGTAGTTAATTTAAGATTTCTCCTTATTCTATGGATTTCATGATCCTTTTCATTTAAGCATCCTTTCAAAGAATTCCCCCGCCTTGCCCATATCATTTGGAATATATAAACAGGAACCTAGGGAGTTGAATATCTGTAAGCTTAAAATTAAAAAACAAAACCACATAACCATCTGAGTAATTATTCTTACGTTGACACCCAGAAACATTTTCATGTCTTATGGGACTTTAAAATCTGAATGATAACTTTGAGCAAGTAACACCCTTCTATAAAGTGGCGATAATATTAGTTTCTACCTCAGAAGATTGTTTGTAGATTAAATGAGATCATAAATATAAAATTCTTAGAATGCTTTTTAAAAGAACTGGATGCTAACTATGATTGTTCATTTTTGAATTTTCTTTCATGTTTCAGACTTGCTTGGGCCAGATGCTAAAGTGAATAAAACCACAATTCTCCTTTTCTTTCAGAGCAAGTGGAGCTACCTGCTGTGGCGTCCGTCAGTGCTTCAGTAATTAAATCTCCGTCAGACCCATCACACATTTCGGTTCCTCCACCTCCACTCTTGCTTCCAGCTGCTGCCACGAGGAGTACTAGTACATCCACGCACGGTGTCATCCCCAGCCTAGAAAGCAAGCCGCCCCAGGCGATCGTTAAGCCACAGATCTTGACCCATGTTATCGAAGGTTTCGTGATTCAGGAGGGATTGGAGCCATTTCCTGTAAGTAGCAAGCATATTTGTATGTGTTTGTTGTGTGTCTGTATCTGTTATTTATGTAACTTTATTTTCAAAATTGTCTATTGTTGACTGGGTGTGGTAGCTCCTGCCTGTAATCCCAGCCCTTTGGGAGGCCAAGTCGGGAGGAGTGCTTGAACCCAGGAGTTTGAGAACAGCCTGGGCAGCACTGCAGGACCCCATCTCCACAAAAATTTAAAAAATGAGCCTAGCATGTTGGCATACACCCGTAGTCCTAGCAGGTGGAGGCTGTGGTGGCTGTGAGCATGCCACTCTGCTTCAGTGTGGGTAACAGAGTGAGATGTCTACTCAAAATAAATAAATACATTTAAAAAATAAAAAAAGTTGTCTATTATTGTTATCTAACCTACTTGGAGGCATCTCATGGATCATCTACCAGCAATTCAACCACACTTCCTTAGGAAAAATTAATCACTTCATATGAAATAGTATAGTGTTGGAACCAGTTATTTTATTATAATGATATTTGGCATATAATTGAATTTTAGATATTGAGGAGCTTATTGATGACAAAAATATCAAAGCTTTATATCTTACATTTTTCTAACGTGTGGTAACTTGTAAAACAGCCACCAATGTGCGTTGCAGATTCATTGATACATGTTGTGCATCAGTAATTTGTTGCACATCTTCCACCTGGTGTTTTTCTATTTGAGCACACAATCCAATCTCATTTTCTTCCTCCCATGTTAATAATCATATAATTTATTGTCCAGCCTGTTGTTTGGAGAAGATGTGGAAGGACATGCTTGTGATTCCTGAAAACCACTTTTCAACTGATTGGTCATATCTCAGTATATATCCCAGCTACTTACTTGCTTTTTCATGCAATTGGAATGGAAAACTTCAAGGAAACTTACTATTTGGGTTTTTGTTTTTTTTTTTTTGAGTTAAAGTCTCGCTCTGTCACCCAGACTGGAGTGCAGTGGCATGTTCATGGCCACTGCAGCTTCAACCTGCTGGGTTCAGGCGATCCCTCGCCCTCGGCCTTCCAGTTACCTGCAGCCACAGCCATCTGCCAACATGCCCAGCTAATGTTTTGATTGATAATAGAGGCGAGGTCTTGCCAAGTTGCCCAGACTGGTCTCGACCTCCAGGGCTCAGGCCGTCCTCTCGCCTCGGCCTCCCAGAGTGCTGGGATTACAGGTGTGAGCCACCACGCTCAGCTGGAAACATGCATTTTTGAAAAATTTGTGCTTGCACAAGTTTGTCCTGTGTAATCACCAGCAATCTCTAATGTCCCCTGATAGAGGACATCTCTGTGGGTTGCTAGATTTATGGTGTCCCCTTATAGAGTATTTCCGAGTGCAAAGGGTTGATAAAAAGTTTGTAATTTTATTTTATTTTTTTTTACCCCCCCAAAAGCCCCAGAATTTGTTTATTAAAAATTGTGTATTTGTTCTTGTATGTTTAAACTTCAGTCACCTTCAAAGTACTCTCCGTTTGACGCAGTACACCTTTTTAGATGCTTTTTCCATTGCCCAAAACAGTTTTTGAACTCAAAAATTTTGATGCCTTTTAGTGATTTTGCTGGCTTTTTTTTTCACTTCTTCAACGTCAGCAAACATTTCTCTCTGAGGACATTTTTCAGCTGGGAAACAAAAAAAGCCACTCGGGGTGAGAGCAGGCGAATAGAGAGAGTAGGGCATGGGGGACATGATATTTTTGGTCAAAAACTACTGAACACTCAGTATGGTGTGGGCAGATGCGCTGGTAAATCATCCATTATGAAATGGGCAAACACATTGAATCTCCAAAAAAAATTCACTGAAGCTGAAAGCAGCCTTTCACAACAATGTTAGTCATATCTGGAATACTCTCTGTAGCCTTCATTTGTTTCCAAATATACAGAATTTTATCCTAGCTATTTGGATGCGTAACCTGAGAAAAAATTGAAAATTTTCAGGGTATAGTAGTATCAGTTTTGTAATTTTTTTCTTTTTGAGTTGGAGTGTCACTCCATCGCCCAGACTGGAGTGCAGTGGTCGCTCGCGGCCACTGCAGCCTCGCCCTGCTGGGCTCCGGTGATCCTTCCGCCTCAGCCTTCCAAGTAGCCGGGAACTACGGGCATGCACTACCACACCTGGCTAATTTTTTATTTATTGTAGAGATGAGGTCTCGCCAAGTTGCCCAGGCGGGTCTCGAACCTGTGGGCTCAGGCAATTCACTCACCTCAGCCTCCCAAAGGCACGGGATTACAGGCTGAGCCACCAAGCCCGGCCGTCACCCCAGCCTCTTAAAGCGCTGGGATTACAGGCTGAACCCACCGAACCTGGCTCAGTTTTGTAACTTTTAAAGAAAGGTCGTTGGAAGTTGACTCTAATGACACGAACTTTTCTATTTTTTCTTTTTAATAAGATTGAAATGACACTGAAAATGTATTATTTTAAAAATGGTGTTTGGAACTATGTCATATTTTGTGAGTGCAGAAAATGTTAACTTTTGTGAGTACAGAAAATGATCAAATACATCTGTAGTTACCCAATTGATAATTTTATAGGTACTAAATTTTCTCATAATTCCTTAATTTCAGCCTTCGATCAGATATTAGACATTTTTTTAAATGTGCAGCTTGGCCGGGCTCGGTGACTCAGCCTGTCATCCCAGCACTTTGGAAAGCCCAGGCAAGTGGATTGTCTGAGCCCGTGGGTTTGAGACCAGCCTGGGCAACTTGGTGAGACCCCGTCTCTACGATTAAAAAAAAACACCTAGCTGGGCTCGGTGGCTTAGCCTGTAATCCCGCGCCTTTGGGAGGCTGAGGTGAGTGGATTGCCTGAGCCCGCGGTTTCGAGACCCGCCTGGGCAGCCGAGACCTCATCTCTACAATAAATCAAAAAATCTGCCGGGCGTGGTAGCGCATGCTGTAATTCTGGCTACT